TACTACTACTATACTATCTCTCTCTCTCTCTCTCTCTCTCTCTCTCTCTCTCTCTCTCTCTCTCTCTCCTTTACTCTTCTTTTCCAACAACAGTCTCTTCTTTTAAATTATTTGTCTATAAACCCCCCCAACTATATAAAACGACAAAACCCCCATCCTCATATTTTTTAATTTTTATTCACATTTTGGTACCACCAAGAAACAAAAACATATTTATATGATTAAGACTTCTCATGAAAGAAGAATCAAAATTACCACAAACACACACATTTCTCCCCAATTTAGTTGATAAAAAGAAAAAGAAAAAATAAAACATATTCTCATCTAAATTTGGGGAAAAAAGGATCATTGTATGTAAAAAAAAAAAAGGAATCTACCCAAAATGACAGTTTTTGAAAGGGGACTTTGGTAAGTAAAAACTATAGAGAGGCTTAAAAAAACTCTTCTCATATCATATGTCCCCTTGTTTTTTCTTATAAGTTTAAGGTTGTGGATAAAAGTAACCACGTGCCGCGTTGTCATTGGGAGGTTGTGGCCGGAAATGTGAGAATCCTGATGATGCTGCTGCAACTGAGAACAATGGTGGTGGTGGTGGTTGTGGTCCCGGAGGCTGTTGTCGCACGGTGCTTAATTGCCCCTGTCTCTGCCATCCCCAGTTACTCATCATCACCTCAGCTTCACTTCTCTTTTCTGTTGCTCTTCCCTGGTAAAAGATAAACCAAACATGTTAACAACAACCATTATCTCATTGTCTCTGTTTGTTGTTATATGTTTCTATCTTTTATACCTCGACGGGATTATTGTAACTCGGGCATGCTCCGTTCCAGTAAACGCGATGGTCTGAGGAACCATAAGGAATTGGTGTATTCACCGGCTTTCCCATGAATTCGTTATCCATCTGCAAAAGACACAATTAGAAACGTTTTGAAATACTGATTCATACATAGTAGAGATTTGATATTTTGAAGCTTACCCTCAAGCTAACTCCTCGCTGTGTTTCATAAGTATTAGAAGGGAAGTGAAAGAGCCTCCCGTTTTGCTTTGGTGCATTTCCGGGAGAAAGAGACATTCCCAAGTTGAGATCGAGTTTGTCGTGGCCACCTTCAGATATATTAAAAACAATCAGAACCGTTTTATAGATTGAGATGTAGTTTCATATGATTGCCTTACCTTCGTTATTGGTCTCAGAGTTAATCTCATTTTGGTATGAACTCATCTCGAAGTTTGTAACTGCTTCCCTACCATTGGTGTTGATTGCAGCCTTGTCATAAGCCCTGTTTTCAAGAATGTGTTCAGTAAAGAGAGAAAAACTCACATTGGATTCTGAAAACAAAAGAAGGACTACTAGAGGTTTTCTAGCAAAACAAGTAAAATTCATGATCATTAGGACCTTGCAGCTTCTACTTCGCTGTCGAACAGCCCAAGGTATATATACCTGCAATTCAAGCATCTTAATCACCATTGCTAAGCATTTCAGCTAACTCTTTGGGTTTATTACTGAGACACCATTCCTACTCTCATTTTCAGATTAAAACACTTTTAACCCCTTTTTTCTAATATTGAAGGTTTTTTTCATATCAAAGACAAAAGTTGCTCACTTTTTTCCAAGAAACTGCCCCATCCTAGCTTCCCATCTCCCACATTTATGTAATGTAACCCCTCGATACTTCGAACTCCCCCGCGAAAAACCCGTGCTCTGTCGACGCAGTATATGCACAAACTCTTCCTTACTCAAGTTTTGAACCTGTAGAATAAATAACAAAGCTTAAAACCTTGCTAAATCAAAACAACTGTATATACCACCAAAAACAAGACTTTACATCCAAACCTGTTTCATATCTTCCTCATAATCACCAAGAGTAAAGTTGATATCAGCATCAACACCTCTAAATTTGATAGCAGCTCGATCATAAGCTCTGCAATTTCAAACATTTATCAAAACTCCAAACCCGAAACCAATTCCAAACAAAGCTAATGAACAAACCCAAACAATACCTAGCTGCAGCATGAGCAGTATCAAAACCACCTACACGTTTGAATCAAGAAAACAAAGTTAAAAAAAAACCATGAAATCAAAATCTTGATTCTATCAAGAACCATTAAAAGAAGAAACTAAAACATCTCTAGTTACCTAAATAGACTTGTTTCCCACAATCCCTGAAAAGAGTTGAATCGATCTGATCAATCTCACTCATAGAAATTTTGAAACCAATGAAATTGAAAAAAAATCTATAAAACTTACCAAATATGTGATTCCCATCGACCAGTTCTTCTGTAAAACGTGACTCCTCTATACTGTGAACTTCTCGACCTTGGTCCTCTCCTACTCTTCTTCACCTGAGCCGGAACCGGCGCCGGAGTAGGAACCGGAATCTGAACCGGAGCCATTAATTTCGTTTCTCCGTCACCGTTACGGTCAAAAGAAAGATCTATCCAGCTTCTAGAGCTTGAGCCTTCGAAATCTCGTAGATGACCACAATCTCCACTCACCGGAAAAAACTCCTTAGTAACCCCGGCGGCGGAGGCGGAGGCGGAAGCGGGGCTTTCATCTCCGCCGCTGCTGCTTCCGACTTTCAAAATATCGAAACTGAGAGTGAAGGCGCGAGTAGAGCAAGAGTCTTCGTCTCCGTCGGCATTGATAACAGACGACGTCGATGTACCGGACTCTTCTAACCGATTCCCGGCGGAACCGTCTGATGTTTGCCGATCTAAGTATGAGTCACCGTACTGAGTCGACTCGGGTGAATCAGCGTCGAGATTAAGATCCAACATCTAAAAATTTCAACGGCGGAAGTCACAATCAAGCTTTTTAAAAAAAAAAACCGATGAAGAAAGGAATCAGTATCTCCGATCAATCACACGAAAACGAAGAGCTCGAGATGATCGGAGCTCGTTTGAGAAAGAAGAAGAAGGTTTTAGCGGTTAAGCGTCATTGGAAACTGAGGATTAAGTTTAGGAGATACGGTAAAGGAGAGAAGTTTCGTCGCCGGAAAATGTTACCGCCGGCGAGAGACAGTTTTAAGTTTCAATCGGAGAAGAAGATAGAAGAAGGAGACGTGTGAGGGAACATTTCAGACCCAATTTTAGAGGACGATCTTTTAATTTATAATAACATTTTTTTTTTCTCTTTCTATAACTATAATAATGTGTATAATAAAAACTTTATATTAAAATTTTTAACATAATGTTGTTGGTCCTTTTTTGGCAGTGGTAGTATACCGGCTGAAGAGGTTTCCGGTTTTGCCAATTTTTTTAAAAATCCGGTTTAGTACTACTGCTTTGGTTTATGACCTTGACGTTCAATAGTATTGATTCAAAGGAGACAAATAGCTTTTAAAGTTTCGACCAAAACAAGAGTCATGATCATCGCTGCAATAACTTTATTTTTTTTTGTTTTCTTGTTATATAATTATTACCTATGCTTTGTTACATAAGATAGATATTTAGATATTTTTGCTGCTCATGTGTCTACGTATGGTATCAAGTTGCTACATTTGTGTTTTGAAAAGCATGGTTGATGGATTTGGTCCAAGTATGTTATAATTAGAGGAGGATGGAATGTGAAAGTGAGTCATATAGGTCTATGAGATGAGTGGACTGATCATAGTATATGGTAAGTGGAGGTGGCCATATTCTTATGGTTGATAGTAATCGTGTGAGTGCAGTGATGTTTAATATTGTCTCTATTGTTAGGAAAGTATACAGTTCTTGTAATGTATCATATTGTTTGTTGAATTGTGGGTGATGAATGTTACTCGATTTCGACTTTGTTTGCTTCCATGGAGAGTATTGATCATGGATAGTTCTGTGAAGTAGAGGAATGGTGTGCTTGATGAAAGTGATGATATGTTGTCAAAATTCTCCGAAAAAGAATCACTAACAAGTGATCAAAGATTGTAAAGTCGACATTTAATAGAAATTTGTATATAAATTTTTCTATAAATTTATTTCCGTTGGTTTCAGTAATTTGTATTTTCTAAAAATTGAACTTCTAATTTAGTGGTTAATTACCAAATGGGGGTTTTCTATTATTTACTATATATAATTAACAATAAAGTTTAAGAGGATTTATATAAATTTTTAGTAGAATATAATTACCAATTTTATTGGATTTAGTTTTTGGTATTGGAAGTGAATATGCCCTTGAAAATGGGGTTTCCACAAATTCACCATAGTAGTCTTTTTAGAATTTAAATATCCAATATTCTAGCATAGTTACATTCTTATCTCTTGTTACGGTCCGCAAATTTTTATATTTAATCGAAGTACATTATTTATAAAGTTTAGTTGTTTCTTTTAGTATATGAAAACCCTTTACTATGTTTGATCACATAGGCATTTTCTAGTTTAAGGTGATTCAATTTCTAGGATTCGTCCAGAGGTGGTGGACTAGTAGTAGGACTAGTATGGGTGAAAAGGCAAAATTCCCACATCTTAAGTTCGATTCTCCTAATACTTCGATGCATTCTTCCGAAAAAAATAGATCAAATCAGTCGACCGGATATAAAAGAAAATAAAAATTCAAAGGTTCAAACATTCTTTCTTTATCATAGACCATTGATGTATGGTTTATTGCCACATAGCAAGATTGCGATCGAGATATTGAGAGGTATAGGTTCAATAGAATACATCTAAAACCATACGAGATTGCAAATTCTCTATCTCTTGGACGGCATTGTACTCACGGCTGGGATTGGTCAATAAGGTGAGTCAAGTGATCCAACGGCTGGGATTGACTCAAATGTACTAAGAGTATTGTCTTAACGCTAATCTTAAAAAAAAAATGCATTAATCTTTATCGTATTCGTCTCCTTCACGAGCATGAGTAACACGTGAGACTCTCGTTTTTAACCAACTTGTGTTTTGTTTTCTTCCTTTTTTTTTTTCTTCTATGACTTTTTATTTCATTTTCACAACATTAATTAGTTGCATTAGGTAGAATTAAACATTTGTCGTATGTACTTTATTATTGTTATTTAACTAAATCCATACTTTACCGAGCTTAAGTTAAGAATAAGTGCTTTTAAAAAAAGTTATTATACTAATAAATTATTCATAATTGTTTCCTACGACAAATGATCTTAAAGTTATATCTAAAAAAAAAAACATTTTCCAAATTCATCTTCTTATATCGATGATTGATTATTAAACTTGGCTGCAAGTTTAACTACTATTCAACATATATACCATCTCTTATGAATCATGATAATATTTGTAAAGTAACTTATTCATCAAAATATCAACTGTTAAAATTGTAATCTATAGTGATATTTTAACTAATATCAATAATTCATGCCAAAGATAGTTAGGGCAACATTATTAGTGGAATCTTAACAAGTATCTTAAGTTAAAATTTATCAAGATCTGATTTTATATAAAATAGAACCTTAACAAATTTTATTTTAAAATACTTGTTAAGATCTCACCAATAATATTGATCATATGTGCTCACTCAAGCTATTTTTTTTGTTATCATTAAAATATCTGAGAGAGCATAAAGGCAAAGCAATGTAGACACCTTGCCGACAAGGGAAATGTGCAAGTTGGTTAGCTTAATGTTTATGTATCGCTTAACATCCATAAACAGTTTTTGAGGAAAACAATAGTTATTGAAGAGGAATAATACTTATTTAATTTTATTTTGCAAGTAGTTAATTTATTTTGCAAACATATGTAGTTGCTGAAAACATATGTTTTATTATTTATTTATTTTTGTCGACAGAAAACATATGTTTTATGGGTTGTGTGACTTGAGTGATTAGATTGATTATAATGTTGGGAAAAGAAATAAGCTGACCTTTTTGATATTCACTATAACATCTAATTTTAATTTTTATTATGTTACAATCTAGATCTTGAGCCAGACGGCTAATCCAATCACATGAGCTACTCTTTTTTCTTGATGGTGCCAAAATCCAATACTGTTATGCTACTATAACTGTTACACATTACAGTAAACAAGTGATGTTGTGTTATAAAGTTTCCTCATATAGTAACTGTTATGCTTCTGTAGTTCTGTTACTATGTCAATGCTCATGTTCTTTCCCATAAATGACGTGTTCTTGTGTAGTTGTAATCGAACAGCGAAGTTGTCATTAATATAGTGTTTATCTCTTTATTAATGTGCCTATCATGTTATTATAATTTTACTATAAAAAGTGTTGTGAGGATTCTTGAAACCTCTTACGAATGTTTTTGGAATGACACATTCTAGAATTTCAAGAAATAGCTTTATAACATGAAATGAAGAAAGTGGTTGTAATGTTTGACTCATAGATACAAAAAACATGTTTTACCAATAAAATCTTAAGATGAAGATTTTTTGTTTCTGTTACATGGGAAAAGCCAAAATGTTAGACAAATCAATTGTTCCACACAATTTTTTATTTTTCCTAAAAGATCCTCTCACTACCCATATTAGTTGGCTCCCATGATTTTGACATTTCCCTATCATTATTATTAATATGTACATATCCCATTCACATCCCAACATTGTTTGTTTCATCAATGTGTGTATATGTTTTAAAAAGAATTCTTAAAAAACTTATATAAGCTGTTGACAAAAAAAAGAATTCTTAAAAAACAAATAATTGTTGCATATTACTACAAATTTAGTACTATTTACTTATTTAGAGGTGCCCATTGTTTAGGATTGGTAGTATCCTCAAAACGGTACGACTAAATACTTTGAGTACTAACATCGTACTTTCCGTTTTAAAAATAAATATCACATTACCAAATGTTATCTTCATGTAATTGATCTCATCTTTATTTAATTTTTTGTTTAGTTATAAAATGTTTTAATGCAGATATTGTAACCTTTTTGTTATCTCTTACGGGCAAAAAAAACATAAGTTTAAATTTATACGATAATAAACAATTATAAAAAATACATAATATGTGTATAAAACCTAATTAGAAAAGTTTACACATACATATTAAAACAAAATACCAAATAATACAATTTCAAAAAAGAAAGGAAATATTATAATTAGCAAGTAAAGAAAAATGGTATTTTTAAGGGTAATATTAGAGGATAGCCAAATTTTATACAAAAATTAAGTAAATAGCCATGGAATATATATTTTTTTTTCCAACCACACATTAATTAAAATAATACACCATGATTGGTTGCCATGGAATATTTTTTAATTGTAAAATAGCCATGGACCCACGTTTTAGAAGAAGTGAAATGACAAATATATCTTCTTTGTGTTTTGGAGTTTGAAATAAAGAGAAAAAAAACTCGGCAATGAAGACACTAATGAAATAGTTTTTGTGAGATTTTGAAAAATAACGTATAACATATAAAATTCACATGATATATTGAACTGAATAACATGATATTTATCAAAATATAATATCTTTTACAAAATAAAACACATGTTTGTTCATTTTGATAGTTTTTAAAGTTACTGTTTCAACTCTAATTTAAAACAGTAATCTTTTTTTTTAATTACTAGTTACTTCCCGCTATCTAAAAAAATTCCAAATAATCAAATACTTTAAAAGTTAGAAGATGTATTGTATACTTTTAACTATTTTTGCAATAATGGAAAATGGTCGACATGAAAAGAAAAAAGAGAGGAAATTAATCATCAATTAGTGTTGGAAATAATAATACAGAAAGTGAAAGAAAAATGATTACAAATAAAGAATTTTAGAAATAAATTTTCTAGCCATCTTATATTAGTCACATTCACAAGAAAAATACTTTAGTGCCACTTTCCCATCATGGTAAGTGGTAACCAAAAAAGTCTTCAAAGTTCAAAACCTTAAAAAGATACATAAATATATATATCAAAAGAAAAAACCTGAAAAAAAAAAGTTATTTATTCCAATTTTGGTTACTCTCCCAATAATTGTCTCCTCGTTACCTGCTAGAGCCGGTTGGTAAACCAACCACTGTGTCTTTTTCTTTTAAATTCAGAATTAGTTTTTTTTTGTGTGTGTCAATTTTGTTGATAATGTAAAAAATCTAATCCGGCCAATAATAATCTGCCACGTAGTGGATATGCCATCGTATAAGGATCCAATCCAACGGACAAATATATATTTTTATTTCTTCTTCTACCGCAAAAGAC